GCGCACGCGGCTCGCCACTACCGTGCCGTAGGCGGCGTGAATTTTGGAGTCCACGTTCAGGTCCAGCATCACGGCCGTCCTGTGCGGCGGGCGTCACGACTGTCGCCTACTGTGTGTGTGTGTGTGTGTGTGTGTGTTGGATTCTTTCTGTGTGCGGCCGAGCGGCAGCGTCTTGCCTTGACTGACGTGGGCCGTCATTGCAAAGGCCGGGGTCAGCGGGATCTGCGTGCGCTTGACTTTCAGCACGGGCTTCTTGCGGCCTTTGTCCAGTTTCCAGGTGCGGGAAATCGGCCGGATGGGGTAGAGACCGCGCACCTTCGTGCCGTTGAGGGTCCAGTCGGCTTTGCCGATCTTGACGAACCTCGCTTGTGATGCCGGCTACGTAAGCGGAGGCGGGTGCAGGATCGGGCCCCTGATTTCCCCTTTCCCCCGGGCTGTTGTCGTTGGCCGGGGACTCGAATTCACGGGCCGTAGACGACCGCGGCACACGGCCGCGTCCTGTTTTTTTGTTGTTGTTGTTGTTGTTGTTGGGTGTGCTCTCGCAGCTATCGACTGCCGCCGGGGCGCACGATGCTCGGCTGTTGGTCGTTCTCGTGCCAGACCCAGGAGTGGACGTGCCCTGTGCGGCCCTTCAGCAGCTTCTTCTTGGAGCGGTCCACGTGGTGCGTCAGCGCGACGGGCATGCCGATGGCCAGGGGAAGCATTCCGCAGAGCCCTTCCGTGTGCATGTCGTGGTACTGCAGCCAGCGGACCTTCGCTTCTTTGTCGCACGCCTGGGCTTGGAGCGCTTCCGCACCGGCCTTGTCTTTGGCCACGGACCAGACTAGCCGGCTGCCCGCATCCCGGGCGTAGGCCTTGGCGCGGTCCTTGTTGATCTGGTACTTGGCGTCGTTGTTCGGCACGACCACAGGCCCGTGCACGAATTTGGGCTCTCTGAGTCGTGCGTCTTCGGGCCCATCCACCACTCGCTTTCTGGAGCGTCGCTCTTCGCGCGTGAGGGTGCAACCTTCGACTGGCCTGCCGTGGAGGTAGCTGTGGTTGTCCTCGGACAGCATCCCATCGCGCAGCTCGTCCACGACCTGCGGAGCGGGTCGGTGGAAGGAGGCTGTACCAGTGCTTTTCGTTGTTTTTTTGTTTTGTTGCATGCCGAGAGCGTGTTGTTGGCCGGAGGGGGGGGGGGGCATCGGGCGTGTGCGATGTTCTCTTAGATGCTTTTGTGTTTTAATCTGCTTGCGCGGTCGCTGCGCTCAATTGCTCCCTCGGGCGCCTGGTTCCACCAGTCGTCTTTGCATCTGATCCTCTGGTGCAGCTCCGTCACTCCTTGCACTGCGCCCTCCCAGAAGAGGGCCTGGCCGTGGTCCACCAGGGGGTCGCGCTCTGGGCCTCCCGTCGCGGTCTTGCCGGGCGCCTGTAGCTTCAGGGGGAGGTCGGCGAGGAAGCCTCCTTCGGGCGGAGGCAGTTGCCGGAAGTCGCCGCTGAAGATCACGTTGATGCCGGCGAAGGGTCTGACGTTGCCGCCGGCGTCGCACTTCCATTGGTTGGCGCTCGGCACGGTGCTCCGTGTGCGGGTCTCCACCTGGGCTAGCAGTCGGGCGCTGATCATGCCTACCTCGTCTGCGATGAGCCAGCGCCAGTAAGCCATGCGCCGCGCTGTCTGCGGGCTGCAGGTCGTCTCCAGGCAGTCTCTGTCTTTGCTGAGGCCGCAGGCCGTGTGGAGTGTCTCGCCCTCGATGTCTGCGGCGTTGGTGGCCTGGAAGGCGGCGAACTGGTAGTCGATGCCCTGCTCGTAGCCGAGGAGCTCCTCGAAGAGCTTGCGCACGTACTTCAGCACGTGGGTCTTGCCGGTGCCTGGACGGCCGTGTAGCAGCCAGACCAGCGGTTCCTCACTGCGTCTGAGTGTGTTCTCTGGTGGCACTAGGTTGTACTCCACCAGCACGCGCTCTACGACGAGTTTGAGGAATTCGTGCTGCTCCGCGTTCATCGTGCTTCGCACTTCGTTGCTCTCGAGCCACGCCCAGAGCTGGACGTTGCTGATCTTGGCGGTGCGCTTCGTGGTGGCCCGGCGGCTTCCGGCTAGGCCGGGCGCGTCTGCCGGCGTTTCTGCCTCTCTCTTGTTGCGCGAGGCTTCCGCATCTGCCAGCATGCGTGTGGCGTCGTCGACCCCCGTGCTTGCTTTGGCGTCTTCCAGGAGTTGCTCGGCCATTTCGCGCGGCATGTCGGATGCCGTGGAGGCTTCGCCCAGCCAGACGTTGTGGGAGAGGTTCAGCATTTGCACGGTGAGGTCGTGCTGGGTGCTTGTGGCGGGCGGCTCCTCTGCTTGGTTGGGCGGTGCCTCCTCTTCGGCGCCCGCAGCCCCTTGCTTGCCTGCGCCCCGCACGTGTGTCTTGCTGGCTTCCTGCAGCTCGTCTGCGTCGAAGTTGTAGATTTGGTCCTGGAGATCTTCGTTGTCGCTGTTGGCTGCCAGTTCCATGTCGGGCTGTAGGTCTCGGGGCAGGCTGAACACGAAGGCGTAGTTCAGGACGTAGCGCTTCAGCTCCTCGGTGGGGAAGCCCCCGGCGTGCTTCCACGCGCATTGCAGCGCCTGGCGCCAGCTGCTCATGTCCGTCGTGCGGAGGTGGCCGACGTACGGGACGGCTTCGGTGGCCTCGTGTGGGTTGCTGGTCCAGGGACAGAAGAGCAGCAGGATCTTCATGATGTGCTCCTCCTCGCTGCGGCTGCCGAGCGCACCGTAGAGGACCGGCACGTGCGGCCGCTTGCGTGGGACGATGACCCAGTCGTGGCGATGCTTCCGCACGCGGTTGCCGTTGCCCAGCGGCATCCAGTTTTCCCCGCCTTGTTCTCGGATCAGGTAGTCCGTGCCGCCCTGCAGAAGTCGACGTCCGAGTTTCTTGCCGAGCTTCTCCTTGCCTTTGTCCGTCAGCAGGGCGTGGTAGGCGATGTCGTTGTCGGCGGCTGCTTCGCGATCAGCGGCGGCGGCCTCCTCCTGCTGCTTTAGGGACCATGGATATCTGGCTGGCTGGATGTGGTAGAACCGAGCGAACTCGAAGGCCGAGAGGGGTTGCACTCTGGGGTCCGTGCCGCGGTTGCCGTAGACGGTCCACAGCTGTGGCTCGGCGACGAGCTTCCTTTTGCTTTTGTTGCCGGGTCTGTCGACCCACCCACTGAGGTCGCTCTGGATCTTTGCGCGCTCTGTCGGCAGCGGCCGGCCTTCGGTGGCGGCTTGCATGAGCTCGAGGCCCATCTGGAGGGACATGTCCGCGAGTGCTGCGGTCTTGATGGTTTCCGCGGCGGTGGGGTCGCTGTGGCCGGCGTTGTCGATGAGGTTGGTGCACTCCACGGAGCCTCGGACCACGCCCCGGGCGAAGGCGTCCGTCATGAGGCGCTTCGAGGCCCTGGCTCCCACGTAGCCGGCGGAGGAGTTGTCCCGCAGTTCTGTCTCCAGGTCCTTGTGGCTCTTGTTCCACTCTTGGACCTCGTTGACCGCGATGGGGTTCCGCTTGTTCTGGTAGTCGCATGCATAGCCCGCCTGCGCCGCTTGGTTCAGCTGGGCCTGGTAGGTCATCTCCCGCAGGCTGCTCTTCGTCGGGCAGTCTCGCGTGCAGCGGCCGGCGGCGTCGTGCAGGTCCTCGGTGATCGGGAAGCGGTAGGGCAGCTGGACGTCGCCGTTGCAGCGCAGGGCGGCCAGCAGCGCGGGGTGGTTGCCGTTGAGGTTCGGGTCGTTGCAAGGCCCCCAGAGACGGCCGAGGGCGCTGCGCTTGCCCTTGACCGGCATGCCCATCTTTTCTGCGAGTCCCTCGCACACGAGTGTCGTGCTGTCCACCAGCTGCTTCTCGCGAGGGAAGCCTGCCTTGCACTTCGTGGGGTCTTTCTTGTCGCGGCAGTGGTCGAGCGGCAGCCGCGGACCGTTCGTCGTCTTGGGGAGGTGCACGTGATGTTGCTTCAGCTGCTGCAGGGCCTCCACGTCCTCGTCGAGATAGAGCCGTCGCCAGGTCGTGGCGTCCGTGGACGCGTCTGTGCTCTGGTAGTGCGGGCGGCTCAGGGCCAGGTAGGAGTCGCGGTAGGCGGGCCACTGCTCCTCCGTTTCCGGGCGCTTCTTCTCCCAGGTTTGCGGGTCCCGGTAGATGGTGCGGCTGACGTGGGCCGTGTAGGTGCAGTACTTCTGGAAGAGTTCTTGCTTGCGTGCGGGACCCAGGGCCTGCAGCTCCGCGAGGGACTTGAACTGGTGGAAGCACTGGAGGAAGAGCTGCACAGGGGGCGGCGGTGGCTTCGGTGTCGCATGGCCTTTCTTTGGTTGTCTCTCATGACTGTGCCGGCGTGCCTGGAAGTGGACGTGCAGCACCCCGGACTTCTGGCTTTCGATGGACCCGAACGCGGCGTCGATGCGGCCGAAGATCCCGCCGCAGGCCATGGCGTTGCTGCCGAAGGCGTCCGCGCAGGGTGTTTTGGACTTGCTGCAATTCGGGCACTGGGGGCAGTAGCGGACGCCGAAGAGGTGACGCAGCGCGAGCTGCACGAGGGTGCGGAAGCCGTCGGCGCAGGCCACGGGATCCTTGGTGAGCATGGCCCGGCGAGCGTCGTAGGGCGGCAGCTCGGCGGCGAGGGCTTCTGGGTTGAGGCTGTAGAACTCCACGTCCAGCTCCGGCTTGCTGCGCCCCTGGGCTCCTCGGGTGGTGGTGTCCTCTGGGCCGAGGCTGGGGTCGGACTGCCGGGCGCGGGCCAGGCGCAGCATCACCGTGCTGTCGCGCTCTGAGGGGGAGAAGGTCACGAAGATCGGGGTGCCGTGGCATATCCGATTGGCGTGGGTTTGGAGGCGCATGGTCTTGCGCACCTCGTGCGTGCCCGGGATGTTTCGACTGCGCGCCTCCGTGTTGTCCAGGACCTGGCACCGCTGTCGGGCTTGCTTTGGGCACTCGTTGTAACCTGGCTCTTGGTAGCTTGCCTGCTCCGAGTGTGGCCTTCTACGGCGCGCGTCACGGCACTTGCTTGCTCTCTACGGGTTTTCAGGCGGCGAAGGATGGGAGGCTTGCACTGCGGGTGGGTCCGTGCTTTATAGGATTTTCTTTGCACGAGCTTCGAGCCTTCAGGGCTGCTTCTGAGAGCCCTGGGACGAAGCGTAGTTTGGTGAGGTCTCCGTTGATGGGCTTCAGCTGGTTGTTGATGTCGAGGTACTGGCCTCTGAGGAGCTTTTGCTGGATCTGCTTTTGCCCCTCCAGGATCTCCTTGGTGGTCAGGGCCCTGCTCTCGTGGTTCTCGTCGGCGACGCTGTAGATGAAGGCGTTCCCCTGGGTGTTCACCATGGTCCTGAAGAGGTAGTTCCAGAGGGTGAAGCCGAAGCTCCAGTCTCGCCTGAATTGGGTTTCTGCCCGGCGCTGCATGGCTGTTGCCCATTCGAAGATCTGCACTTGGGGGGCCTCCGGGTTCTTGTCTCGGCGGCGTCCTTGCGCTGACGCCCGGTTGCCGGCTGTGCTGTTGCTGTTCTGGACGTCCGGACAGGCGGTGCCGTGGGCGAAGCAGAAGCTGAAGGCCGTGGCGAAGTAGAGCGGCTGGAACTGGTCCACCAAGATGTTGCCGGTGCGCACCTCCATGGTCTCGAGGACCTTCTCGTTCTCTTCGTTGCTGCGGAGCTGGGTTTGGAGGTCGTTGAGTGCGGCCGTGGCCACGGCGTTCTGGTCCTCGCGGTCCGTGCTGCAGCCTTCCGGCACGACGGCCCGGGCTCGCTGGTCGGCGAAGATGGCGCCGGCCCGCTGCATGTCCTGCTCCGGCGCGTCCGTCGGGGCGGCGGCCTTCTGCGGCTGCAGCTTGTGGGCGGTCTCGTCGTCCTCGCTCAGGCCGGAAATGATCTTGAGTACTTCCGGCGGCACGCCGCCCTCTGGCAGCTGCGATGCTGCCTCCCGCACATCCGCCATGCGCAGGTGCTGGAACGCGGGATGCCCGAGGCGCTGCATGTCGTGGATGAGGTTCACGACTACGTCTCTCCGCACGGTGGCCTGGTGGAGCAGCGTCTTGATCTCGGTCTCGCTCGTCTTGCCCGTTTTGTTCGTCTTGAGGAGCACCCTCGCGACCTCGGCGAGCGCCTTGCCTGTGCGCGGCAGGCTGGGGGGTGCTGCCGCTCCCGCTTGGTCCTGCTCCGCAACTTCTGCGTGGTGTGCCTCTAGGTTGCGCAGGAGGTCTTCCCATGGGAGGGGAAAGGTGAGGGCGTTGCCGCGCGCGCCCAGGCGGTGACGGGCGTTCTGGGCTTTTTCGTCTAAGGTGGTCCCTTCGCTGCGGTGCCGCGCTTCCATGGACATGCACACCAGGGTCGTCACGCAGGGGCTTGCGCAGATCATTTCCATCACTGTGACCTTCTCTGCGTGCAGGCGCGCCGGGGAGTAGCCTGTCCACATGTCATTGCACAAGCTCAGGGGCGGCAGCTGGCCGTTGTCCAAGTGTTGCGCGCAGTCGCGGCAGAGGGGCACCTCGCAGTGCTCGCAGAGCGTGTGCTGGCTTGGGTGCTGGGGATTGGCGTGGCAGCGGTGGTCTTCTGGGCAGCAGAGTATGTCGCCGAGCCCGGGGATGGTCACGGTCCACTCGTTCAGCTCGGCCACGTCGGTGAGCTTGACGTCCCCGGCCAGGTCGTCGTAGAGCCCCAGGTACTTGTCGATGCTCAGGATGTCGTGCAGACGTTCGGTTGTCTCGGCGTGGGTCCTGTCGTTGCTGGGGGGACCCTGGATGAGCCTGCGCCAGCGGATGGGGCCCGCGGCCTCGGCGTCGGCCACGCGTGTGTGGATGCATGCGCAGCAGAAGCAAATGATCGCTTCCACCCTGTCTTTGCTGGTGGCTTCGGCGAAGCTCCGCAGCGCGCTTCTGTCCCGCGAGCTTCCTGCCACGGGTGCGGCCTCTCTGCACCGCAGGGCTATGGCTTCGTTGTAGACGCTGGCCAGTGCATCGGCCGGGATTGGCTTGGGTAGGTGCTGTGCGACGCTCTGCAGTGCTGTTGCGTGCTCTTGCTGGACGTGCTCTCGAAGCTCTTGCTCGGTGCCCGTAAGCAATGACCAGTTGCAGCTCTGGAAGGCGCAGAACTGTCCTGGCCAGGGTTCCCCACGGTCGAGGTCTTCGGGCCTGGCTCCGGGCGGTATCAGCGGCTGGGCTCGCAGCTGGGTGTGTGCGAGGTGCCGGAGAGCCTCTTCCAGTTTCCGCCGGGGGTGGCTGCTGTCCGGCGCCACGGGCATGCTGGTGAGCTCTTCCAGGAGGTTGGGCTCGTCCTGTGCCTCTGGCTCGGGCGGTCGTGTCGCCGGCTTCGACGGCGTCTTGCGCGCCTGGGCCTGTTGATGGGCCTCCTCTCCGCCGGCGGCGGTTCTTCTGCGCTTGGCTGGGCGCGGAATCGGGTGGGGTGGTGGTGGTGGTGGTGGTGGTGGTGGCAGTGGTGGTGCTGGTGGCGGTGCTCGGTCTATGGGCACCAGCAGGTCGTAGTGGTCCCTGCCGTTGTACCAGAGATGGATCACTTCCGTGGCGTTCGGTGCTGCGTGCGGCCCGCGTTGGGCTGCTTCGTCCACGTCCGAGTGCGTGCGCTCGCTCGTGAGGATGTCGCCGTTTGGCGTCCGCCAGTGCAAAAGGACTCGCTGCTGCCTCATGCGGGTGAAAGCGATGATGGCCGTGTCGCCGCCCCAGTGACCCGGATCGCTTTGGAGGTATTGGCTTTCCTGTAGCCAGGCCTGCACTTGCTCTTCGTCTTCTTCGGCTTCTGCGTTCTCTCTGAGGTACTGGATGATTAGGGCTCGGAGGCATGCCCCGCTCTCGCCGGTGTTCTCTCCGAGCGCGTGGAAGAGGCAGTTGCCGTCGCCTGACATCTTCTTGATGGCCAGCATGCCCCGAAAGTGCTCCTCTCGGGTGCATTGTCTGCTTGCCTAAAGAGCGCTCTTGACAGTGGATGCTCGAGGGAAAACGCCGGCCTCGACGCTGGGTCCGGGCTCCGTGTCGTGGTCGGAGTCCGTCTCGGCCCCCCCTCGTCGCGCGGCCGGTCCTTCGTGAGATGGTTCAGCGGCATTCCTTGCGAGCTTTGCCGCTTCCACGGCTTCGTTTCTTGGCGGTGTTGCCTCGGCGGCTCTGTCGGCCTGTGCACACAGTGGGACTAGACGCTTGCCGGGAGGTGTTGTGCGCCTTTGGGGTGTAGCTTCTCTCCGGTGCCTCTGCTCGCTGGAAAGCTCGATCCAGGGCTCTCTCGTCGTCGGCCGTCCATCGTGGCTGGCGCGGCAGTGGCTTTTTGGGGGCCTGCAGGTCACGATGCCGCGTACGGCTTGCTTTCTTTTTTCTATGTCTTTTCTCGTGGCACAAGTCCTTACTTGCATTCCGGCCGTGATGCCTTCTTCCGTCGGGGTGTTCTTGGCTTCGCGCCGGAGGGCGGGGTCGTGTCCCGTCGAGGTGCGGTTGTCGGGGAGGTTTTCCAGGCCTCGTGCGTGCATGCCCGTGTGCTCTCCTGTGATTTCTGAGGGCGACGGCACGAGGTGTCAGCGCGCCTCGTCGATCTTGATTGTTCCGCCCTCGGCCGGTGGGTTCGGTGCGCAGTTGCGCGACATACATGCGTGTATACACGGGTTCTCTCTTCGGAGGCTCTGGGGCATGCACGGGCGTCAGAAGTGTCAGGCTGCATCTCCTCGCCAGGTAGTCCTTCTTGAACGCTTCGAACTCCCAGCCGGTCGCCTCGTGGTTCGGTGCGCTGAGGCCGTTGAGGTTTCGGGCGGGGTCGGGCCGTCTGCGCGTGTCGCATGCGATCCCGCCTGATCGTCGTCGTCTGTCATGTCGGCCCACCGTCGGCTGCTTTCGGGCTGCATGATGGCTTCACCTGCACGGGCGGGGGAGCGAACCGTGCCTGCTCTTTCTCTCTTACTGTCGGAAGCAGCTTCGGCCTAGATGGTTCTTCAGGAAGCGGATCTCTGCTTTTGAGGCTCGATCACGAATTGGGCTGCGGTGCCAGGTTAAGGTTGGTGTGCTCTCGCTGCAGGCACGATGTCAGCGTCGTTGGCTTGCTGCTTGCAGCCGACTCTCCTTTTTCGCTTCTGCTGCTGTGGCTGCAAGGCGCGGTGCTCCGATGTAGCCGTAGCCATTCTGTGAAACTGATTTTGGCTGCGGCTCTCACCACCTGCTTCATAAACTGGACGGTGGTGAGGATTGTCAAGTGATTCGCAAGCTCTCCAAGCCGATTTCCTTCGTAAAATGGACGAGGATACAGATTGTCAGGTGGTGGGCGGGCTTTTCAACTGGACTCCGGAGGTCCTCGCGTAGTTGTACCTTGGCATTGGAAGGGAATCAACGTAAAAATAAAGCAAATATGGCCTTGTCTAGTTGCTGTCAAGATGCGACCAAAGCTGTACCTTGGCTGCGGACATGTACATGAAGTCTGATTGCAGCCAAATTGCATTCCAAGGTGGTATACCTTGGCTGTGACGTGATGAATCAATGCATGTGCGGGAAAGTATGATGGTATGATGAAGCGTGAAGGTCTTTGAAGGCACCCCTTACCAGTGATATAGGAGGCTCATCTTGCATCTGCAGGGGCTCTCATCGCGGATGTATCTTCCTTAGGTCTTGGCTGGCAGCTTGGTTTGGAGCGGACCTGACGTACGACATGGAAGGGAAACTGCGAGCTTGCATGCGTGCAATTGCAGCTTAGTGGCCGTTTCTCATTGCCGTCCCTCTGGTAGTGCCTCGGCAGCGGCACAAAAAGGGCGGGATGCCAAGCTGACGTGGACATGTACGTGTCTGATTGCAGCCAAGTTGCATTCCAAGGTGGCATACCTTGGCTGGGACGTGCTGAATGAAAGCGTGTGTGTGAAAATATGATGGTATGATGAAGTGTGAAGGTCTTTGAAGGCACCCCCCAGCATACTTAGCCTGGGATGGCCCAAGAGGTTTTCCTTCTAACGCCCCAATAAGCGAAACAATTCTGCAAGAGGTTTTTTCGTCTAACGCCCCAATAAGCGAAACAATTCTGCAAGAGGTTTTCATTCCTGAAGCCCCAATAAGCGAAACAATTCTGCCAGAGAATTTGGTTCCTAACGCCCCAATAAGCGAAACAATTCTGCCAGAGATTTTCTTTACTAGCGCCCCAATAAGCGAAACAATTCTGCAAGAGGTTTTCCCTCCTAACGCCCCAATAAGCGAAACAATTCTGCAAGAGGTTTTCCTTCCTAACGCCCCAATAAGCGAAGCAATTCTGCCAGACTAACCCTTCAAAACTCACTGAAAGGCTTGTGCGGACTCGAGGTTTGCGTCTAGATTCTAGATGCACGCCATCCCGGCACGAAACTGTGCGGGGTGTTGAGTATGCAGTGGGAGAGTGCTAGTGTGGCGGCTAGCCTTGGTGTGTTTGTGCTTGCGTCATGGGTTACGGTGACCTAATTAACCTGCTGCTGGCAGAGCTCTTGCTGTCTGTGCTGCTCATGGTGCCAAAGCTTGAGTCCAAATTTGCTCTACGGCGAGTGTTTGCGTTGCGGCAGAGAAACCTGACACTGGAAGCTGACGAGTTCAGGAAGAATAGCAGGGGTGTTGCGCGAGACAGTGTTTTGATAGTGGGAGCGTGCACGCATGTGATTGCATCCTGGCGGCTGCTGCGCGTTTCGGCCTTGTTGGCCGTACCTTGGCGTCCAGATCAGATGATTGCTAGCACATTGGAAGCCTAGCATGGACAGATGTGGACATGCACGTGTTTAATTGCAGCCGAGTCGCTTGCACCAAAAATCAGTCCTTGGCTTGGACATGTTCAGTGAATGCATGCGTGGGAAGTATGAGAGTGTGAAGGTCTTCGAAGGCACCCCCCAGCGTACTTAGTACTGGGATGGCCTTATTTTAGGCGCCTTATAAGAGAATGTCCCGCAGCACACGCTCCCTGCTTCCCCGATGTTTCTGGTCGGATTGAAACATCCTTCGCCCATATGTGTTCACCATTGGAGATAGATCGGATCCCCGGTAGTAACGCGCACCCGCGAGCGAGTACACGCGTTCCCGTTGACAGGCTCAATGGGAAGCCCCCTTGGCCCTTGGCACTGAGGAAAACAAACCGATCCTCGCGCAAAGCGCGTCCGTGGCACACATCCCAAAAGTATGACCGCGGCCTACTTTTGGAATGCTCAAGGAAGGCACCTCGGCTCTTTTTAGGTATTTGGAGGCCGCTTCGCTAGTGAACTGGCGCGTACAGCAGTCGCTGTAGTTCAGCGCCATTACTAGCTTCCAAAAGACAGTTAGCATGCTCCCTTAGGGGGCGAGCGGAGGGTCCAAAAGCGCATTGTGTGTACGCGCGCGGGTCGGGGAAATCCTGGTCCCCGGGCAGTCGTAGATTGACGGTGGGTGTCAATTTTGCCCGGCTTCAAGACTGCTTAAAGCCCTTTGAAATAACTTCGGAAGCCACTTAGAACGTTTTAAAACCACTCTGAGCCTTTAAAAACCTCTCAAAACCTGCAAAAACTTGCAACCAGCCCACCCACAACGCCAAAGTGACAATCTCCAGGCCCCAAAGTGACAATCTCCAGGCCCCAAAGTGACAATCGCCAGGCCCCAGGTGACAATCTCCAGGCCCCAGGTGACAATCTCCAGGCCCCAAAGTGACAATCGCCAGGCCCCGAGTGACAATCTCCAGGCCCCAAAGTGACAATCGCCAGGCCCCAGGCGACAATCTCCAGGCCCCAAAGTGACAATCGCCAGGCCCCGAGTGACAATCTCCAGGCCCCAAAGGGGTGGCAATCTTAGGGGGTCTAGATTGTCAGAAGGCGGCAATCGTAGGGGGGTACAGATTGCCAACAGGTGGCAATCACAGGGGATCGAGATTGTCAGCAGGTGGCAATCTTAGGGGGGTACAGATTGCCAACAGGTGGCAATCTTAAGGGGGTACAGATTGCCAAGAAGTGGCAATCACAGGGGATCTAGATTGTCAGCAGGTGGCAATCTTCGGGGGGTACAGATTGCCAACAGGTGGCAATCTTAAGGGGGTACAGATTGCCAATAGGTGGCAATCGTGGTGGGGGTTGGTGGAAAGGGGGCGGATGGCTGTCACACTCCCTTGCTGGTCGGTTGCCCCTTTGGATTGTCAGCAGGTGGCAATCTTCAGGGCTTCAGATTGTCAGCTGGTGGCAATCTGGGTGGAGCTTGGTCGAAAGGGGGCGGATGGCTGTCACACTTCACTTTGGCCCTATGCTTCCTTGGATTGTCGGTAAGTGGCAATCCCGAGGGGACCAGATTGTCAGCAGGTGGCACGACAACTAGGACTAACAAAATGGGGCTTTTTTTCTGCACTGGTTCTTGGCTTCTTGGTTTAAGGATGTTGAGCACGACAACCAGGGTTAACGAAATGGGGTGTGTTTTTTTCTGCTCTGGTTCTTGGCTTCTTGTTTTAAGGATGTTGAGCACGACAACTAGGACTAACAAAATGGGGCTTTTTTTCTGCACTGGTTCTTGACTTCTTGTTTTAAGGATGTTGAGCACGACAACCAGGGTTAACAAAAGGGGGTGTGTTTTTTTCTGCTCTGGTTCTTGGCTTCTTGTTTTAAGGATGTTGAGCACGACAACTAGGACTAACAAAATGGGGCTTTTTTTCTGCACTGGTTCTTGACTTCTTGTTTTAAGGATGTTGAGCACGACAACGTGTAGCTGCAGCTTGGTGGCCGTCTTCCGTTGCCGGCCTCGTTGGTTGTACCTTGGCATCGGCAAAGAAGGAATACAAACACAAGACTAACGAACACGAGCACGGACATGTTTAGTTGCAGCCGAGTCGCTTGCACCAAAAATCAGTCCTTGGCTTGGACATGTTCAGTGAATGCATGCGTGGGAAGTATGAGAGTGTGAAGGTCTTCGTAGGCACCCCCCAGCGTACTTAGTACTGGGATGGCCTTATTTTAGGTGCCTTATAAGAGAATGTCCCGCAGCACACGCTACCTGCTTCCCCGATGTTTCTGGTCGGATTGAAACA